GCGTGTGTGTACAGCCAGCAGCAAAAGCGGTGACACCTCGCCAAACCTGCCTCTGAGAGATCATGTCCTTACCCTGAAACGAGGCCCACGTTCGAACAACCAGGACATAGTCGGGACGGTTCGAATGCGAGGAAGAGGGAAATTACGGAAATCAGGCAGAGAAGTGCAATAATGACTGAATTATATATGGAGAGAGAGAGAGAGAGAGACAGATTTTATTCCTGTTTAATTGCTAATTTGATGGCTGTATTGGAGACGCTTTAAGAAATAAGTTATATATCATTTCGAAAATAATTATCATATAATCTTATCACATCATTTTCTATTATTTCCTTATAAATTTTCTATATAAAAAAGAAAAAGAAAATATTATTTGAACTGACTCTTCATATTAATATTCGTCAGACGAAAATATCCTTGGTTTACATTATGTTATACTGATATATGGCACTGCATTATCCTAAGCAGTTGCTCTCTCTTAATCTTTTATTTTTCTATGCCAAGAAGACATTACAGGATATCCTTATTTAGTATAGTATTTGTATTTATGTCAATTCAGTTGAGTTACGAATATTTGTGTCTGTCTTGGGTAACAATTCAGTTGGATGTATTTAATGTTGTAATGCATGCAGAAATAAAAATATATAATATTGTAAACTATTTAAGTGAGTGCATTACATGCATTCTATTGCATGTAAAAATACAAATAAATAATATGGACAATAATTTCATTGGTTGAATTACATGCATTCTATTGCATGTAAAAATACAAATATCTGCATAAGTTAGCGCCCTTATCAGTAGCGGGTCCAACCTCCGCGGGCGTCAATTACCTCAATTTGGCGGGTTGGCATGGAGGTTACGAGGCGTTGCAAATGTTTGGTCTGCGTCGCACAGATTCCCATACCTCCCTCGCTGATCGGTCAATAGCGTCGCCTGTGGGTTCTGGTCCCATGTTTATTTCTTGTTTCATTATCTCCCATTCATTCTCATTATGTCAAAGCCTTGGATTTCAGGGTGCCTACTGAACCACTCGGTCACAATGTAAGCGGTGTGTATGCGGCTATTGTCTTGGGCAAAAATGATGGGTTAGCCTTCTGGGATTGCTATGGCTCGCATCACATCTTCTAAAAGCAATATATATTCCCTGGCGTTCAAGGTGCCGTTCACCCTTACCAATTCCCCTGGGCCGTAGCTCGACATCCAGCCCCATTAACTAACCCCAATCCTCCTCCTCCTGAATGTTGCAAGCTTCGTATCTTGTGCCGATGCGTCGCCAGACATGCCTTGCTCTGGCCTCCACCGACGTAAAGTGAGATTCGTCACTATAGATTACATTTCTCCAGTAATCAATATCGTCAACGAGATGTTGTAGAGCAAAGCCCAGACGAGTGTCACGGTGCCATTCCTTTGGCTCTTCTTTGACCGCCGGAACATGACAGCTGATCGCGTGCTCCCTCAGGCGACGTCTGGTTGTCTGTGGAGTGCAACGGAGATGCAGTTCACGCGTGATGGTTACCGATGCTTTCTTAGGGTCTGCTGTGGATGCTGCAATGATTTCGTCTTCGTTTAGTGGTGTTGTTGCGCGCGGTCGTCCTCTTCTTCGTCTATTTGCCAAAACCCTCTCTTCCCACCATCTTAGTATCCACCTTAGGACTGTGCATGTTGACACTCCAATGCTGATGGCAATATCTCGTGTCGGAACATCACGCTCCGGCTCACCAATGATCCATCTTTTGGTTATATTCTCAACAGAGTTGTCTTTGTTTGCCGCCGCCATCCCTAAAAACATTGCCATACATAAGTATATAATATTATATAGAGCACAACATTATATGCTACAACGCCTATTCCAAACATACATTATTGATAAACAAAACAACTGCGACTAACACTTCAGTATGTGTAGGTGATAGTAATTTCCAATCAATAAACTTCCACAATAGCAGTCAGCCCCCAAATGGAAGAAGTCCATGGCTGTGTCGCACGTCACCTCGTGGGAAAACCAGGACCCCTACCGCCCCTTAAAGACATTGTTTAGAATCTAAACAATTGCAGAAATCAACTAGTCATACGAAGATGATATAAGTAATGCTATAATGCTATGTGCTAGTTTTCATGGCGAGTTATAACCACTGATATGAACTGTTATTAGTAAGGGTATTATTATTGCTACCTTATAAATGCTGATAAGTGAAACTCAGCAAACCTTATTTAAAATAATTCCGTTGCCACCTGTCCCTCATCACCTTTAACCCCACCTTGTTATATCATATCCTCGCCTCCACTTGTTCGAGGTTTAAAGGTCTTCAGAGTTATTTTGAAATCCTTTTGGTGGTTGTTTTTTTTCTGGAAAATTATTTAATTAAAAAAGCATTTATATATAAAGACGGATTGAACAGGAGATGTCTAAAGAAATGGGTTCCTTGGATAGCTTGGAGGGGGAACGTTGGACGTCAACCGCTGAAACGATAAATAAAGGCGTAAGAATAGGCAGAGT